TACAATCATTTTGGTGTTATGCTGAAAATAGTTAAAGCTTGAGTGAAAACAAAGTAGTAGATAATAATAAAAATGAGAGGTTTTGGCTGATGATGAGTAAATAATTTGTCATCATTTGTCGTTAATGTGAGACACAGTGAACAAGTAACCCCTTGCTGTCAGGAGCTGAGAGACAGCAATGCTGCCAGTTGCTTCCCATATCAAATCTAATGGCCACAAATAACACGCTGTATGTCTTATAGACATAAAGCAAGAGAGAGAACTAGCTGCATTTCACAGTCAGAAAGTTACTTCTCTCAAATCTTGTTCCAAAGTAGTATGAGGTCATGGTATGGACTTGGGTGGCAGCCATGATTTGGCACCTTCAACCACCCTGTGACTGCACATTAATCACATCTGCTGTTATGAAGGACAGCTGTAACTAGTTAGAGTTTTATAAAGAATGTATGGTTTAATAGGTTTTCTAGTTGTTTGTTTGGGTTTTGCTGGTTTTTAATAGAGAGTTCTTCTCTCAGGCTGCTGTAAAGGGTATTGTAATGACATCTTGTTTTGGCCCACAATTGGGTGTTACCTTTTTTATGCTTACTCTAGTTAGTATTGACTCCTTTTGTTTTTCCCCTTAAAATTAGGGCGTTTATAACATTTGAAATTAAACTATCTAGCAGTGCAGTTTAGAAACTAGTATGACATTTTCCAAGGTTGGTTTCTGTGTCATAGTTTTTGCCATGTGCTGCTTACTACCCAGTGGGGTTTCTTACTGTCTCTATTTGAATGTCATTGTTTTAAATAACTGACTAATGACAGATGCAGAGCCACAGAATGTTACGAGTTTGGTAGCACTCTCACCCAGGTGAAACTCTAGTTGTTGTCCTTATAGTAATAACATTCTAATAACAGCCTTGTTTCTGATGAGATCTGTAATGAGGCAATTCCCTTTTGTGCACAAGTCAGTTGAAGAACAGAAGTATGAGCTCTTTTATGTCATTGATTAAAACTATAGCAGAGAGGGTACAGACAAAAGTAGTCTTGGAACAGAAAGATTATTCAGAGTAAAGCAATAGTCAAAAGTCTACATTTCATGTTCTCAGATTAATCACAAGTTTCTGCCCTTTAATTCATCCTGAAGCTCTAGTGTCTCAGGCATACTACCAAGGCATACCATTCAGCTTCTGCAATCCCGTCTCGAGACCATTACACACTCAGTTTCTCATTCTCACTTTATTACCTGCATTTTATGAAGCAGGTTCTACCCACAGCTTCTGACTGATTGTTTACATCACACTGCTCCTTCTTTTTACCCTGTGGTGCCAGCTCTCAGAGCCATTACAAACTTCTGACCCCTGTTCCATGCATTTTAAAATTTTCATTGTGAATCTCCTTTTATCTTTGCAAGTTTGTAATGTACTTTCTCTTCACAGTCATTGCCACTATTTGCCAAGTTTTTCTCTCTTATGTAGGGTTTACATATGTGTTTGATAATATATGCTTTTAATAATATATACAGAAATAATGCATTATTTACCAAGATAGAGGAGACTGCCTTCAGATGGTTTAACCCCAGCCAACACCAAGTGCCAGGCATCTGCTCACTTATTCCTGCACCCACCAGCAGGATGAGGGAGAGACTTGGAAGGATGAAAGCTAGAAAACTCACGGACTGGATAAAGACAGGTTAATAGAGAAAGCAAAAGCTGTGCACAACGGCAAAGCAAAACAAGGAATGAATTCAGTGTTTCCTATGCCAGGCAGGTGTTCAGCTATCTCCAGGAGAGGAGGACTCCATCAGACATGATAATGAGTGACTTGGGAAGACAAATGCCATCACTCCAGTATCCCCCTCATTCCTTCTTTTAGCCCCACTTTATGTTGTGGCCAGGATGTCACATAGTCTGGAATATCCCTTGGGTCAGTTGGGGTCACCCGTCCCAGCTGTCTCCTCCCAGGCACCCCCAGCTTCCTCACCAGCTTGGAAATACAAAGGTAGAAAAGGCCTTGGTTCTGTGTAAGCCCTGCTCAGCAATAACAAAAACATCTCTGTATTATCAACACTGTGTCCAGCACAAATCCAAAACACAGCCTCATACCAGCCACTGTGAAGGAAATTAGCTCTACCCCAGCCTCAACCAGCACAGTAACTTAAAATTTCTCACTTCAAAGTGTGACTATACACTGCTCTGTTGCTTTGGTCACTTTCCAGTGCCTCAGTTGCACACTAAAGAAGGGAGAATGTTCCTGTAGAACCTACTAGCACATTCTTGCATAAAAAATAAGTAATGCAAAATAATACAAGTAGCAGGAGTATGTCAGAATAAAGGTGTACAATTCTAGTATCTAATTAAACATCCAAGGGATGCGAACGAGAGGAAGAAGTGTTCTTGCTTGTAAAGACAGCTGACATTTCTTTGTTAAGTTGTTTTCTGTATTGTCTATATTTCTATAACATTTTATATACTGGAAAATACTTGAGGGAAAATAAATTGAGCATGGGCTGTGCCAGAAAAAAACCTCAAACCAAAGCAAAACCAAAAAACCCATACACAGAAAAATGAGAAATTTGAGAGAATTTGAATACCATATTGTGCATTTGTTAGCTAGTGGCTATCAGTGTGAGTAGTGTTTGTGAAGTATTTTGCTCTAAGGAAAAAAATGTGGTTATTCCATATGGGTTGGCCTATATATGCTTAAAGCCTTTCTATAAATATTTGAATTAAAAGACACCAGATGTTGCACAGAAGCTGCTTTCTGAACTTCATGGTATATTCTTTCAAAACCCACAGGAAGTAGCTGAGGGAAAAAGTGTATTAATTAAGTTCAGAAATAGATTTTCCAGCTATAGGAAAATCTCCAAAGAAAATAGCATATGATCTTCAGAAATGTGAGCTTTCTGTCCCAAGAATCTGGTGGCAGCAGGCAGCACTTTCATATGGGGCTCAAAACTCAGATTTCAAGTTCTTAGAGCTAAGCTAGCCTGGAAATAAGCCAGTCTGTGGCCCTTGGAAATGGACCCATCTTTTGACCTGTCCCCTCTGGCCAGTGTTCATAGTTCTATAGACAGTCTTCAGAAAGGACATTTGTCCAGAATATTTTTTGACCTGAAGAAATAATGTTGTAGACTTGAGGGGAAAGGAAAGTACTAGAATTCCCAGAAGCTCTACGCTTCAAACATGAAATATGGCTGACTATAGAGTATATTTTATAAGCTCTAAAACTATGGCAAAATAATTATGAAATGGGATTTGCTTTGCACTGTTTGAGGAAGAAGATTTATGGTTGGCAAACCAATTAAATGTTTCTGCATTTAGAAGTACTGACTGGTGTACTTTTGCTCTGTTTCCTTCAGACCAAAGCACTGAGAGTGAGTGTCCTGCACTAGCAGTTGGTGGGAAGTGTTCCATCTGTCTTTATGCAATGAACATATAATTGTTTATAGTTACATGGTTCTGCTGGAAGAAAATGGACATGCAAACAAGTAACATTCACCACTGAGCAGTCTTAGGTAGATCACACGTCAGCTGCTTTAAATGTGAATTGCTGATGTTTGGTTATCATGTGTGTCATGGTGGTTTGACCCAGCCAGCAGCTGCTCACTCACCCCACCCCTGCGGGATGGGGAGAGCATCCCAAGACCAGAAGTCAGAAAAACTTCTTTCTTGAGATGAAGACAGTTCAAGGAGGGAATCAATGCTGTATGTGCAAGGACAGTAGAAGAAGGAATTTATCGGCAGGCAGATGTTTAAACACATCCCAGAGAGCAGAGCTTCACTTCACATAACGGTTACTTGGGAAGATAAATGTCATAAACACAAACATCTCCCCATATCTTTTTGTTGCTTCAAGCTTCTATTGCTAAGCATGATTTGAAAAGGACTTGATGTCCTTTTGGTCCATGTGGATCAGCTGTACCAGGGCTGTTCCTTGCCCGTGTTAGGGGCAGAGCAAGAGAAGGCCTTGATGCTGCGCAAGCACTGCTCAGCAGTAACTAAAATATTGATATGTTACCAACTCTAAATGTTTTAATCACAAATTCAGAACACAGCACCATCTTGTCTGCTGTGAAGCATGTTAACTCCAGAGCCAGTATCACTTCTCCTTTTTATCTGCCGGGTAATGCCTGTGACTTGGGCTCTGTCTGCTGCAGTGATTGCTTAGGACAGGAGAGGCAGCATGCTCTGTTGAGTTGATGGCACCAAAATCAGCTCAGGCTGGGTCACAGGGCACTTATCTGGTTGTTCATGAATATCGTCATCTCTTGGTTCTGGTGGATTCTGTGGTTATACTTCCGTAGCACAAGGCTGAAATCACAGAAACAGTTTGAACGTGTGTCCATTGCAGGACCACTAGGAGGAGGAGAGAAATATATATCTTTTGTATGACTTTTCCACTCTCTTCCAGAGAATTCCACCGCAGGCTTTAAGAAATCTTCCTGATAAAGGTGTGTTTTACAAATCTGTTAGACCTGCTTTTCCTCCTTTCAAAAAAACAAAATAGAAAGAAGGAAACAAACAAACAAACAAACACACAGAGAAAAAACCAAAACAGAAGACAGAACTGTCTTTGGAAAAGTCTTAGATACATTTCCTTCAGTATCTGCTATGTCATATTGCTAGCCTTTATGGGATCAATACTGTAATTCTTGCAAGCTGTTGCATTCAAGCAGAATGCCTTCTACCAGAACGATGTTCTTTATTCAGCGAGTTCATGAATTTTCTTTCACTTGTATGAAATAGTAAACGTAAAATCAGTGAACGATGTGTCTGATATGTTTTAAAGAAAACATAAACCATGTTATCTCTATTCAGTACCTGAGAAATATCCCATGTTATGTGTCTGCTACTTTTCTGTCAGTGTTTAGGCAGCCAGATTTTAATGCATTTAGAATGATGGTAATACTGAAATATAAAATACTCGTTCCTGCTAAGAATCACATTAGTTTGCGTTGTAGCATGGATGGCAAGTTGGCTGTTCTGTTGACTTCACACCTTTGAATTTTTCTTGTGCAGCCAGACTGTACTGCAGCTGAGCGAGCCATGGCAAGACTTGCAACGCACCCCACCTTGAAGCCCAGATTTGTTGAACTTAAAGGTATGAAACATTTTATTGAATTTTTTACTATATCTGTAGCTTACTGGCGTGTTACCTTGTTCATGTATATTTCTGATGTGAACAAAAGTAAAAAACCCACAAAAACTGAAAGCTTCTGTAATTAGCCTAGCTAGCTGCAGTGAACCAAGCCACAAACTTGAAACCATTTATATAGTTTTATATGTGACAGTATATAATACTGCATTTATTTAATATAGGGTGTTGAACAAACAGAGCTTCTAATGGGAATTCTAAAAATCAAATAGATGTAATGAAGTGTTTCTAAATTAAATAAGAACATAAATGGATCATTACAACTGGCTTTTCAAAGGCATCTAAAAGGTTTTACAAATTACTTTCTAAATCTTCCCTGAAAACTGTCCTCAGAATCCTTAGGGAATCTTTCCTGGTTATTTGGGCTTTCTCTTGTTCTCTTGAAACTGGAATTTTCCACCTAAAATTAATGTTTAAAAGGGTTAAGTCCTAGTAGTAATGTCACCAAGTTACTTCATTAATAACAGAGCATATCAAATACCCATTTAATTATGTATGAACAAATTAATATTAGTTTGCAATTTTACAAAGTTGTGCCCTGAGTGGTCATGATTATCAGCTGCAGATTATTTTTTGAAGCAGAAATTTACAGTTTAACTATATTTCATAGTGTATTTAATAGATAAGGATTTTCCTTCACTTTTGTTGTATTCTAAGATATCTCTGATCCCATGTGTTTGGTAATAATTCATAAGGACATTCAAAATATGCTCAATGCAACACATAAGTTGCAAAAATGTTTTATTATATAAAAATAACTTACATAAATTCATGTATAGCTGCAACAAAATATTTTTCTGCCTCTTGTACAGCTGCTGTTAAAGCTTTTAAGGATGCAAGACAGAACCCAGACAAAGCCACTCCTATGAAAAAAGGTCAGTCAGAAGAGCAGCCTAAATCAGCCCAAGATTCGAATAGCAACTTGGATGACCAAGCTTCTAAGCAGCCCCAAAAACAGCAAGGATGTGAACACAAAACAAAACCAGACATGAAAAAAGAAACTGACAAGGCGGTTGAAGAGATCTGTGAGAGTGAATCTGGACAGAAAACTGTGGAAATGGAGAGGTCATATGCTCCAGAAGAACCTTCATCTCAGGCAGTAGAAATGCAAACAGTTACTCAAAACAAAACAGGAAAGAAACTTGACTGTCAAAAAAGGAAAGAAAATACGAGTATGAACAAATTAAATGCAATGAAAGAAATAATTGATGATAGTGACCACGAGCATCCCAATGAAAAGGAATACTTTGATGATAGTACTGAAGAGAGGTTTTTTAATGAGTCATCAGATTCTGACAGTGACAGCAGTGATGATTTCTTCATTGGCAAAGTAAAAAAGAAGAAAAAAGTAGCGGCAGTTAATTTTTCTTCAGCAAAAGGAAAAGGTAGTGTTCAGAAAAATGTAATGAAGACAGAAAAAAGCACAGTGTCTGGGACAGCGCAGGATTTGATCATGGAAGAGAGAAAGCCATTTGCAAAAGCAAGCAAGCTGGAGTCAGTATTCTGCAGTTCTTTGTCTACCACCAATCAGAAATCTCAGAACAGAAGGTAAACTTTTTCCCTGTATTATATTCTCCATTCTCTTCCTGCTTCGTGGTAATGGAAATGTTTGTGATTTGTAGCAGTTGTCCTTACTAAACAAAGAGAACTTCAGCCCATTAAACCTTAGAACATTTTCACAGAAACTACTCTACAGAATTCTTAAGCTTCCTTGACAATACATATTTTTTATATTCACAGTGGCACTGATTTATGTATAAGATTCCTAACTAGATATACACCCAAATTCAATCACTTCTGAATATTTTTTTTCTACTTCTTTATTAACATGGGTAGAGCAGTATTAAAGAAGCTTGCATGTTATGTTTAAAAGTTATTGCATGAGTGTTTTGGTGTTGATGATTCTTTATTCACAGATGTTTGCAATCTTAAAATTTTACTGAAAAAATCTTAATTTCTCTTTTTGTTTTAGAAAAACTGAAGCCCCGCCTCTCAAAAATGAAAGAACAGGTATGTATTACTTAACTTGGTAAAATTAGGAGAGAGAAAAACATTTTGAAATTTTGTTGCCTCTGCAGTCTATTCGTGATAGGATGTATTTGTTTCTTTTCAAGTTTGTAGCACATATTTTAACATTTGTTGTTAAAGTGGTTAAACGCTTCAGCTTTCATTTTAATCTGTAGACATTTTCTGTTATTTTCTGTTTCTCATATTAGAAATACTTAACATAAGGTTTTATACTGGAAAGTGCTTTTCTGTCTGTCAAGCAGTTAACATTACTTGTGCACAGGTAATGTTCTATGTAACTAGTACCTTATTTCATAAGTAATTCCTTCAATAGCTACTGACTATGAAATATTTTATTCCATTTGTGTTCTGTGATACCATTTTGGAGTTCATTGGATTGAGGATATAATTCCAGTCATATTGAGTTACATTGTGTAACAGTCATTGGTTTATTGTGAAAAAAAAGTTTAGAATGAGCTGAATGTTTGTCTACATAAATTTTGAGTGTAGTCAGTATTAATAAATCCTAACTATCTGCAGTCTACTGAATGGCAATTTACCAGGCTGCTAGATGAGGAAATCTTGTTGTGAATAATATTTGGAGGACTGTATTCCCCATGGCTCATTATGAAATTTTTGAAAATACCTGCAGTTCCAAGATAGATTGCATACTTTTATGAAGGTACATGGTATAGTTAATGTCTTGTTTTGTACTTGCACAGGTTTTCTTAAAAATGAAACAAAGCTCAAGAAGAAACCATTTGCAAAAGCTTCAGGGGATATTAAATGTAACAATAAGAAAGCAGTTTCGGAGCAGCCTCTTCATCCTTCATGGGAAGCGAGCAGAAGACGCAGAGAGCAAATGTCTCAAATTACAGCATTCCAGGGGAAAAAGATTAAATTTGATGACTAGGCTATACGTAAATGGACGTTCAAAGAAAAAATTTTTTGCAACTGCTGTTTGAACATCTTTGTTGTACTGTCTATATCCTTTGCAACCTACAGAATTGCAGCTGGTATTATTTACCATCTTAGAATATCAAGATTGTTTAATTCATTCTGTGTGCTGTCTGTTGATTAATGTAATGGGCATTTGGTGCTGGTTCATAAGTCCCATTATATACTGCCACCATTCATGAAATATACCCTCAAGTGAATAAAGGGTTTTTAGGAAAATAATTTGTGCCCTGTAGGAATAGTACAGATTCTTTGAAGGGGGATTTGGAAAGGTTTTTTTGTATGTAAAAAAATGTACTTTGTATGAGAATTTGGTTGTTAATAAAAAGGTTCTATATATAATCTCAACTGAGACAAAGTAAAACATTCTTAAACTTGAAGAGACTTCATAAATTCATCAGTGTATTAGGTAACTGGAAAAGTCTATCAGTTGTAAGCATAATATGAAAATTTCTGGAGAGAATAAAATATGCTTTTACATTGTGATCTCTGTCCTCTGATTATACTGCCAATTCGAAGAAATGAAAAGGTGTCTTTAATACTTTGTTCTGGTAGATTTGTCTGGATTCTTCAAGATGTGTGTCTTGCGCTTTCTGAAAGAATGTGAAAACCTGAAATAATTTTTTACACGAAGAAACATCTGACTATTAAGTGCCAGTCTAACATTGGGCGTTAATCTGATTGGGATATGACAAAAAACTTTAATTGAATACTTCTTTAGGTGCTTTTCGTACTACCTCATTGAAAGAAATTCTGAACATGTAATTAATCTTTAATAATGTTGTTTATTTAAATATAGTTACCTTTCATTATCAGATTAATTCATAAACTTGGTATATGACTGGATTGTACTACTCACGTGGCATTTTGAGATGCCTGTGGATAGCCCTGCATCACCCCAAATGCCCATCTAACCTAGTATCTTTGAAAGTAGTCAAAGGGATGCTTTAAGGATAGAGGTAGCACACGGTGATACATCCTGCATCATCCATCTCTTCAAACTTCCAGTTTCACAGCTGTTGGGGTTGATTCTTTCCCTTTTCCTTCTGTGGAATTTTTCCCGTTGTTATGCTAAGTATTTGTGGCTACACCTTAGCTCAGTTAGCTAGGGTAACAGTTTCTCTCGCGGAGGGTGGGGAGAGGGGGAACATCGGGAAGAGAGGTGGGGGCAGCGCCCGCTCTCGCTCGTGGAGTCGGGGGAAGACGGCCAGGGCTCCTACCTGGCATCCTCCCCGCCATCCCAAAGCCGGGAGCCACATTCCCTGCCGTCAGACATCGCTCTGCTGCCTTCCCACTCCATCCTACTACCTACTACATCCTACTACCAAGCTCCACGACCGACACCGTGAGGGGGGAGTCGCTCCCCCATCCCTCTCACCCCTGGGCGCTGCCGCCATCACCCAGCGCCTTCAGCTGCGCGGGCCCTGCCCTGCCCCCAGCACCGGGAACTGAGCGCAGGGAGAGAGGGCCTTGGCCAAAAGGGACTGGAACTGAGCTATACTGCTCTGTTTTGTTGTCAGTTTTTATAGCTGTTGTTGTTTCTGCTCTTTGCCTTGTTAGATATATTAGTAAAGAACTGTCATTCCTATCCCCCTATCTTTTGCCTGAGAGACCCTGATTCCAAAACTATAATAATGGGAAGGGAGGGGGCTCTTGCCTTTTCTTAGCAAATACCTGTCTTTCAAACCAAGACAACAGCTTAATGACATCTTGTGATACTGTAGCTTATGGTGTTTAATAATCCTTTATCAATTTCCTTTCCTCAGATTTGCCTGCTCTTAATCCCTGCAAATTTGTAGAATATGTCATCCCTTAAGGTGTAGATAGCCTTCATACATATTGCAGACTGAAAAAACCCAGCGTTTTTCTGTATCCCAGCCAAAGCCAGCAGGCTCCTGGGCTGCCAGCAGTATGAGGATCTTTGCCCTGGACTAAGCACAGATAATGCCACATTATGCATGTCCCATCTTGTGTGAAGTTCTTGAAGACTAAACCTTCAAGTTGGTATATTCTGTATTAATATTTAGGCATGGTTTGCCGCACTTACACTTTCTTTTCTATATAGTGAACAAATGTCAGTATATGTAATACTGTATTTAATGGCATTGCCTCCCAGAGGAATGAGAAATTAAAACAACCTTCCATTTTGAAGTGGGTTTGTTGCTGTTATTTTCATTGTAACGTATGGAACAATATTTAAGGCCAGGAGTTTCAAAATAAAGCACAGAAATGTGTTTACTGTGGTTTTGTAGGGTTATATTTCACAGAAAAAGCTATGCATTTACCTGCTTTCTACAAACTTCAGGATTTTCAGGTGCATATGTTAATCCTTAAAGCTTTAAATAAAATAAATAAATAAATCCTAGATGAATGCCACACCAAACAAAGGTTTGGTATGTGACTTCACTGCTTCCAGTGTAAGGCAAGAAAAATGTCTTTTGGTAGATGTCATCAGTTGTAAACAGTTTTCATGGATATATTACCTTTCTTTTAGCAGATGAGTACCTATTTAAGGATCAAAACCCTAAAGATTGCAAATAGTTTGGAAAAAAACCCTCAAGATTCTAAGGAGCTAATGTTGTAAAGTGCTTTTTTACATGTGCTTGAAAGATCTCGGAGCATTGGTTTATCTTGGCATTTGAGCAAGTTTCTTACTGCATAATTACAGCTGTAATTTGTGGCCACAGAATTCTCCCTGAAGGAAGCCTGACTTATCAAAACATCCCTTTTTTTCCTTCAAAAATACTTGTGAGCTCTTACTTTAAAGAAAAGAAAAAAGATAACATACACTGAATATGAATGAAAGAAGAGAGATTAGGATACTGGCATTACTTCATATTTTAATGGGTTACTGCTACTTTCTACTGGTGCTTGAGTGACTCGCCTGGATCACAGCCTTAATACATTTTACAAATGAGTAGTGATGGTGGAAGCTTGATAGTATCTCTTACGTGTAACTGGGCAATTTACTTGTGAACTGAAAAACCAAGTGAACTTGCCTGGAGGTCGTTGATAAAGTTTAGAATGTTTTCTTTTCATTGTAACAACATACCATGTTCAGCATATATGTGATTTTAACTTAATTCACATCTGTAGCACTGTTTAGACAGAAACCTCTCACAAAGTACTACCAATTTATTTTTATAGTGACATGGGAAGTTATTTCTTTCTGTGATGATTAAATTTTAAAATGTTGAGAGCCATGCTTTTCAGTTCAGCACCACACCATAGAAAAATTATCTTTAGACAGGTACATACTGTCAAATACTACTAGGCTGCTCCAGGTGCATAACTTTTTTCACTTCAGGTTGTGAACAGCAAAGCAAACAATCTCAGATTTTTCAGTATCTTTTAAGACAGTCATCACTAGTTTAAATGTGATTGGCTTTTTTTTAAATAGCAAACAGGCGTATTATTGATGGGACCATTTTGTAGACTTCCAAACAGGCATAAATTTTTCTTTAATCAGTTTTTATGGAATTATTAGATCAGGAAAAATGGGCTTGAATGAAAATTCAGTTACAGCAATACATTATTGGGTGAAAGTGTTGAGCTCCTTTGTGAATGTAGACTGGTGGTAGATGGTTTTGTGATACTAGGCAGGTGATCTAATATAAAAATGAGATAGAAGAATGGGGTAGAAGGTACTTGGGAACTGGAAGATGCTTTATTTTGAATAGATTTTAATATACTTTCTGCAATTATAATATGCAATTTTTACTGCATTTTTGTATTTTCACAGATTCTGATCCACTCCAGGTTCTGTGCTCTAGGAATAGCACTTGGAGAAATTCTCAGTTTGAAGCTCTTTGCTCTAATAAGTAGTAGGGTAGGAAATACTTTTTAAATAGAGAGACATTACACAAAGTGGGTTATATCTGAAATAATTCTACATTTATTTTATGAATTTTAAAAGATATTACATTGGTTTTATCTCCATTTACGTGAAGCTAAAAGTGCCAATTAGTTGAAACTTAAATGTTTGACGACTTACTAGAACAAGTCTCCAAGCTTTTTAATCATGCTCTTCTGTAATCGTCCTTCAGTGAAGGGACAAGAGATGCTTCTCCACTCAGGCTGTTTCATCAGTTTAGCATGCAGATTGAAGAGGCAACAGGACACTGGCTTGTACATAGAGAATGTAAATAACAGGATAAAATGTGCTTGGAGTAACTGCATGTTTAATATGTTAGTCAATTTCTAGAGTACATAGACTTCCTACCATGTACTGCTCAAATGTTGTCTCTGTGAAAGCATAGTTTATGGAGCAGAAATTCTGAAAGTGCTTTGTAAGTTCCTGTTTGTACTGAGAGAGGTATGGTAAGGAAATTGTGTGTCCAGGTGAACCATATGCCTCCTGTTAAGCCTTGACACGTTAATTCTTTGTGTAGTATGAGGGGTAATTTGCCATGCCTTGAAATTTTTTATTTCTTGTTTCTACCTTGACATTTTTTCTGACACCACGTCAGCAACATAGAACTTTCTTAATTTTCACATAGACATAACAACCTTAACTGAAGCCTTCCCACTGAGAGATGAACCTGGCCTGTGCAGTAAGTGTAATACTTCAACAAGTAGAACGCTTGAAACATTTTATTCAAGTCATTTTCACATAAACTTGCAACCATAATACGGGCATGTAACACAAGAATATGAAAGTGCAATGAAGAATACAAAGCTAGTGCCTGAATATTATAAATTAGAGCTCTTCAGATAAAGATGCGAAGTTACTGAAATTAAGACTCCTTGAAAAAAAGTGAAGGAAATTATGAAAAGTCTTCAAGAAAGATGCAAAAACAAGTGGCATTTCACTGTATCTGTAGCATTTAGTTGCATAATAAAAACCTCCCAATTACATACTCTTTGGTTTAAATTCAAGTTAAGATCTTTCAGCACCTTTTAGGATTTGGAGGAAATGAAAATGCCTTTTTGGCATAAATGTGAGACACAGGATAAACCACCTTTCAATGTCTCATTTATGAAAACCACCCTGCTGGTTTTGAATGAGCACACTGCAAACAATGCATGAATGACAATAGGAAGGTACATTTGATATGTGCATTCATTCTGGAGCAGAGAAAAAAAAAACGAGTAGACTTCCTAACACAAAAACGTCATCTACACAGTATTTTGGTTCCCTTGGTGACCAGTCTGTCATTTTTGTTACACTTTTGTCTAGAAATACGCAAATATCAAATGTATTTCAGGATTAAAAAAAATATATATAACAAACCCTTCCTCTAATGAGCCTGATATGCATTATGTTCCTTATGTGCAATTCTTAAATAAAGATTTGAAATGTGGGAGGTTATTGTTCCACACACATTTGTACATTCTGGTTTTCAGAAGAAATTTGAGCAAATTCATAGTAGGAATCTCACAAAATTTAAATCTGGTTTTGCTCCCACTGAGACCAATGTCAATATGCTTTTCAAAGATAAAAGAATAAGCCCGATGTCTGGTAAAATGGAATTCAAATATAATTTGCTGTAAAAATAAAAGCTCTTACCAAAACAATTTTTAAAAATGCTTTTGAACAAAAATGCACATAATCCCAAAAACATATTCCAGTATGCAAAAAAGTAAGGTGTCAAATCTGCAGAGCCAAGATACTGAAAATACTGGTTGGCGCTCCCCTATTTGGAACTACTTCTACACATGCTATATAATAAACTCTACTACCTCTACTGTGTTGTGATTTACTATAGATAGACAGGGTTAAAGTCACATTCCTTCATTTTTTTTAATCCTAAAATCCCTTGTTTTTCTCTTCATGTCTTAGGCAATTTCTGTGCTATTGTACATCAATGTCATGTTGCTTAACACACATTTCAAAACAAATACAATATTTTGCTACGGAAAAAAAAGCTACATTTTCGTAGCTCCAATATCCCCAATATTCAAAGTTACAGCATTCAACACCTTTCCAAACGAGGCCATTCCCACTTGTTGCACCTACACAGATGCTCCAGGCCCTCTGGCTCCTTGCTGACTTCAGTGGAGTTCTGCAAGTAGTTTGGGCACAGACGTGTGAGCAGGTGAGAGTGTCATGAGCGAGGGGCTCCCCTCTTCCTGCAGCTGCTCCGTCTCCGGTTAGAGCTCTCCTATCCCACATCCAGCATCAGGCACAATGAGGTACGAGCACACCACCTCTTCCCAGGAAGCAGCCCGTGCCCACAGCCTGGCTTCCATTCAGTAGCTTTTGTGCCCATTGCCCAAGCTGCTCTCAGGACTGTGACCCCAGTTTTGACCTAAGTCTATAGAAAGGTGAATGCGCTTGCATCCCTTAACACCTCTTAAACTTAAAAACTCTTTGGGCTGAGATTTCAGAAGCCTAGACTTTAAACAGGCCCTCGTTTTTGCAGATGTATGTAACAAAGGGTTTTCTCATAAATCGAGTCTCCAAATTTTGCTTCTGTTCATTGCCCATACCGGTTACAGATTGCTAAAATGGATCTCTCAGCAAACAGAAAGGGACCTGCAGGTATAAATTATATAATTCTGCACCCTCTCCCACTGGTGGGTAGTAATCACCAGGTTGCTGGTTCTCAGGGTTTTTTTAAAGTTCTAATTGTGCAAATTTGTAACCAAGTTATGAATAAGGTGGAAATAAATAAAAGTTCTAAAGAACAGCTGATCCTTGAAGGATATTATGGTAATTCAGCAAACTTCCAAATTAAATCCATAGGGTTTTAATGCATAAAATATATTTCAAAATGTTGCCTGAAGTATTCTCAATAGTGATAAAACCTCTCCATACTCCTCAAATTTTTCATTTTTAACTATATTGAATAGCACATTTTTTCCTTTTTTTTTTAATTTATTGAGCTTCCAATATTAGGTGTTTTGAACTGGTGATCAAATTTAATGAATACCAATCAATATTTCTAGGTCTCATTGTTCCAAAAGTAGATTTTTCATTTTACATGATCATAAATCTTCTGAAAAAAAACCGCCAGATCCCCTTGTGATATGTCATTTCACAGTTTAAAACAAAAATCACAGCTACTGTAGGTTACAGCAGGGTGCACTGCAAAAGCAAAATAATTTGGGGATGGGAGGAGGAGTAGTATACCCAGCACCAGTTAAGCAGTTCAGCAAAAACATTAATTTGCACTGGAAGTTTTTCCCCTTAACAATGTTGCATTCGGTTCCTGAACAGCCTAAAGTAGGATGTTAAATACACTGACTTTTGCTCTTCCTCTCTATGTAGTATATTTTCAACTTTGTTATTTTGAATACTGAGATATACATTTTAAAGTCAACTACAGTACTTAAGGGGGAAGCAGGTAGTAGGTTTTCTTCACGCTAAAAATACTTTGTAAGATATTCTGACCTACTTCTGTTTGTGGTGCCACCTGAGTTAATTGCCTACATCATTTTGATAGTTAACCTGCTCAAGTTGGATATTTTTTCACAGACGACCACATCAGGGACTCTTCATCATCTCCAAGAGCCCATTTCTTGACAGGTATTTTTTATCCACATCAAGTTTGCAGAAGTTTTTTAAAAGTCCCACCTTGAAAAATTTAATGAACATAAAAAGGTGAGTAAGCTTTTTAATTAATTTTCACAGATGAATGGTGTATTTCAAAACCCCATCTGTTTTTCACTTAAGAAAATGGAAAAACTTCTAATGTATTAAAAATGTAAACATAACTTTTCTTTCAGGGGTATAACTGATATATATAATATATATGTATTTCTCTGCTATATGTTAATATTCCTTGAAAACTGAACATACTTCTCTCTTTCATATCAATGTGTCCTAGCAAGAATTTTTAATGGTACTGTATCATTACTCTGTTTTTCATTATGGTATTTTCTGAGATAACTGACATTAGTACTTTCTCTTGAGTTTTATTTAATTCGTTTTGCATACATCTTTTCCTACCTTTTAAAATACGTTCAACTCATTCACCAGTAATATTCCCACTCAAGTCTATTATCATGTAAACTCCAAATTTAAAGGAGCTAAGAAATGGTCCCGTGTTTTTATGAATGAGTTATATTATCAAAATTTAAAATATCTCTATATAAAGCACCAGTTTCACACATTTCAATATCAATACAAGTAATGCCAATTTAGATTCTTAAAATCCAGTTAAGTTTTGGTTGAGAAGCAGCAGAAGTGCTTCGAAGTCACATAAGGTGTGTGGGTGTAACTGTGTATGTTCTGTAGTTTTTTCTCTATAGTGTTTGCATCCTAGTGAAGTTTGTATAATGATACTTCAGTTCAAAACATTTGGCACCATCTCATCCATTTCTTGCATCTTTCTCAGTATCTGTTGAAAGAGGAGAAATAATTTTATGCAGGTGAGCAGGTAGGCACAAGAAGAGGAACTGCTAAATACCCACTTGTCAGCTTGACAGCACAGGTCAGCCCCCAGTAACACATTTTGTGTCCTAGCCCTGCATGAAGATGCACCTGAGAGAGATATGAAGTATGGTGTACATGTATACATATACACATATATACATATAGGCATCTACATATATATACATATATATATATGTGCCTGGAGGAGAGGAGGCTGAGGGGGGATCTTGTAACTCTACAACTCCCCAAGAGGAGGCCGTGGTGAAGGATGGGTTGGTTTCTTCTCCCATGTAACCAGTGAGACAGGACGAGAGAAAATGGCTTCAAGGGGTGGTTTAGATGCGAAATCAGGGGAAACTTTGTCACATAAAGGGCTGTAAAGCATTAGAACAAAATGCCCAGGGAAGTGGTAGGGTCGCCATGCCTGGAAGTGTTCAGAAGCTGTATGAATTTGGCACTTTGGAACATGGTTTAATGGTGAGCATGGTGATGATCCGAGGTTGGTGGCTGGATTTCATGATCTAAAAGGTCTTTTCCAACCTTAACTATTCTATTATTCTGTGTACTCAGTAACTTTTTCAGAGGTAAGATGGGGAGACTAGATGTTAAAACCGTGAAACATAAGTTTGCCTCATTTAACTAGTGATTTCCTAATGCAAAGTGAGGAATGAATATTTTACAGGCTAATTAAGCACATCACATTAATTCAGTCTATTTGTTTCACTGATACTGTTATAGAAGACTTCACTGGTCATCTGTTTTACTTTTCATTTACTGCTCTGGAATTTGTTTCATATGAGCCTCTATACAGTGTTAATACTCACTCCTTATACAATCCAAATGAGGACTCTTGATAAATATTTCATACAAACAACTAACACTGCTCTGAGAACTGCTTACCTCTGTGTTACAGAAGACTGCTTTTTCTCTGTGTGTTTTACAGATACTAAGGTACAGTAGATCTACCATGAGGACATTTATTAAATGAATTTGCCTTTTTGGAGGAAAAAATGTAAGAAATGCAAAATTGTGGCACTGTTTGCACTTTTAAAGAGCAAAACTGTAAATGGAGGGTGTGTGAAACAACTGTTTCAGGGTGGTTGGCTGCTGTGTAAGCAGCAGGAGCAGCGAAGTAACATGCACGTGTGGGATTTTGCAGAATGTCTTAAAGAGCACTGTAGCAGCTCAGTTGTGTGTGGGTGATGTAAAAGGGTATTGAATGATCCTAGAAAGGTCCTAGTGCAAGTACAAAGATGGTGTGTGAGCCAGAGGTCATTATCTAGCAGACTAGAGAGGAGCAGCAGGTTTGAAAATGTTACATATTCCAATGGCACATTTTGCGAGGGCAGAATGCCCGCAAATTTTAAAATTCCCGAAACCCACAAAACAAAGTGCTAAGAGCAGGGCACAGTGACAGAAGAAGCAGCAGTGGGGAGGCACTCACGGTGAAATTGTGCAGCCAGAGGCATAGGCGTGGTGGCCCGTGTAGCGGATGTCACAGCGGACTATGTTGTTGGAGTAATCGGATTCAGGCACCAGGTAGCTGGGGTTTACACTCACCTGCAGGGGAGAAAGCACACTGCTGTCTACTGCCACGTCTCAGTTGGTAACTTACAAGCCAAAGGATGTATGCAAATGTAAATAGAAGAAAAAAATAACTCCCAAGAAAACCCCAAACCTCCCCATTCCCAATACACTTACCTTCAGAATGTAATTTCCAGGTTTTACATCAGTAATATCAATCCACTGGCAATCTATGTCAGCATTGTAAGTGTCGTAGCAGCCAGGGCTCAGACCCTTAAGAATGAAGTTAAGATGGATGTAAAAAACCACTAATCTTTAGAAACAGTGACATTCTAGACATTAGGGACACTTGGACTGAAGTTCACTTAACTATCACAGTTCACTTATAAAATTAGTCTTATTTTTAGTTGGCATTTTATTTGTGTGTCTAAACTAGAACACCTAAGTCTAATGTACCACTTTTATAGACTGCCCTTTATTACTAATGGATAAAAAATACCCATAATATTGACAGTTGTTCATCTATGAGGTATCTGTATTTTCCTATAATCACTTGTTACAATTCTCCTTTTATGTAAAAACTGTTGATGTTGTTATTTCCTGTTCTTTACATAAGATGAGAATACAATAAAAATTGACCAAAGACTGGAGGCAAATATCTGTAAATGTCGAGTGAATATCTTCTTGAGGTCATGAGTACAGACGGACTTGATCATCATGTTAGAATCTCCCTCTACCCTTAGGAATGATGCAACCTTTTGCTAAGGATGTAGTCTGTCCTAGTGCCATCTTTGAATAAAAGGGTTAAGGGCCATTTTCACATTGAGCTTTGCATGGAAATGGTGTCTCTTCAGGCAAACAGTGACAGGAGAATCTGAGGGAATGAAAATGTAGCCTTTATTCCAGATGCATCTTTCTGAAAAATTCTTTGTTGTTAGGAACCTTATTAAAAATCCCTACATACGAGTGTTTCCGTGGATCAAATCTAGTGTCTTTAGCTGTGCCAAAAGATTGCTCCAGGCAGAGCTGATCTGTTCTGGCAACACACAGAGTGCAGAAAACCCAAGTCCTGCAGGAATTCCCTCTTGACCCAGCTGGTGATCAGCTCAGACTCTCGCATGTTTGTGCCAAGTCTGAGGCTGGAGGAAAGTTTTACAGTCCAATTACAAACCCCTGAAATATGGGCTTCCAGTGGAAATGCTGACACAGCCGTTGATTCTAGTGACACAAATACTCCAGCTGTAAAATATGTATGTTCCTTAGTTAGATGTCATAGTCTACAGAAGTAGCAAAGGTATTTATAAAACCTCTTCAAAGCCTCTATGTATTGCAGATCATTCATTATAGTTAAAATTCAAACGTGGACACGTCGGCCAGTGAAACATAGCTGTCATTTCTCTGTGACAGAATAACTACCTTCTAGATTAAAAGCTGCAGAATAAGGGATACAAGTTTATGTGTACGTATGGCCACAGTGAGTTAAACCACAGATCCATCATGCCTCAGTGTCACGTCTCTGACAGTGGTCAGCAGCAGATGCTTAACGAGAAAAGAACATAAGGAATGGGAAGTGTAATGTCAGGCAAATTCCTTCCACCAGGCATTTAACTGTATTTAAGGCATGGTATGCCATCAGATTTTTGTGTTTAATAACATCTTTTCTTTATCTAAATTCTTCTTGGGCCCATGGAGATTTTTGGTCTCTGCAACATCCAATGGCAAGGAATTTAATACTTCATTCATGTGTCCAAAGAGCTCTCCTCTCTGTTTTAAAGCTGTTGCCTCACACGTTTTAAGTTCATATATTGTCAGAAACATCAATAATTGTGGGCAAATATCAATAATTTCCTTTCAATCCACAACCAGTCAAGTTTTGGTCTTACTTCCGGTTTTCCAAATGGAACAGTCAATGAAATCTCTTAGCCAAACTACACTGCTGATTAATCTTGTTCTGCTGGGGTTGGCTGGTTAGGATTTTTTAAGTTTTTCTTCAGCAGTTCTGAGAGGTGGTGATGCTATTGCATTCAAGGATTTGTCTATCCTAATGGTATGTTCCATTTCCCATGTTCCCCTAGCAAGCCCTAGCACCTGGCTTTACGTTTGTACATGGCCCATCATGACATCCACACAGCTGCCATTCTCTTTAACTGCCTCCTGCTATACGGACACTGAACAATACTCTGAGATTCCTGTGCCAGACTGCCAGCCAGCAGCTGCAGGTGTTAATGGAATCCAGCATCTTAAAGCTCCAGACTCCTCAAGGGAGGAAATACCAGCTGTGAACTCTGGCACCAGCCAAGGATGTCACTTTGGGGATATGAGCATTGGAACAGCTTCTTTACAGGCTGTCCTGGGTGCCTCTTAGCAAGCCTGACCAGTCCTACTGCCATGAGAACTCAGGGTGTGTTTTAATATAGTTCAGTTACCAGTGGTGCTACTGATGTCACTGCCCTTTAATGAAAGCCACAGTTAACAGCACATGGGTGAATTATCAGTCTCCAGGTTAGTATCCTGGTCTCTATAATGGGGAATTCCAGTAGCTAATTTAGGGCATCAGGTGATTGGCAGTTATCCAAATATACAAAACTAGGGGGAGGAAAGACACTTGGCTGTCTCCAAAGCAGCTCCTACCTGTGTGTGTGCTGTACATGCATACCGCCTGTAATATCCATAATCACAGGAAGTATCTTCAAGGCAGAAACTTGCTTTATGTCCTTCAGCAACTTTTCTATGTGAGCTTGCATCCAACAAGTCATAGTGGCTGAATTCATCCATGCTGTGATAATGTCTGTTAAACCATAGATACATTATTAGAGATAGATCAGACCTTATCAATAACATTTTTACATTCCTGTTTGATCTACATACTGTTAAATCTTGACAAATTTTACTTACTACCCAAAACCTGTGTATTAATATACACTCCTACTACTGATACTCAATTATTTTCATTAATCTAATTTTCAAGTACTACATGTCATCATCTCTAAATTAATAACAGGTTTTAATTTGGTACAGGAAAGATTCCATAGCAGCACTGGTTTTCCAAAATTTTCTGTTTCACCTCTTTTCCAATAACAATACCAAATATTGAGTAGTTCATATTTGAATTTAACATCTTATAAGTGACTTTAACCAGAGTTTTGCTAGGAATGCTTACCTTACATACTGTAAATTCCATGGAAGTTTGCTACTTGCTAGCAAAACCCCAGCAATTTGGTTTCACATTTCCATGGCCCTCAGACAATGCAACACATTTGTAACATTGGTGAAGACAAAATCTGCATAAAGAAATCAGCTTCTGTGTACAGAAAGTGCAGATTTCATTCAATATCAACTATTTTTACAGTCTATAATTAATGCTCTATTTCAGAAGTGGGTATGCTTTTGATTTGAGCAAAGTGATGTATTTTTCTTGCTTTCACACAAAGTGACTTCTAGCTCCTACTGTGGAGGTTTAACACCTCACATTCTTTTAATTTCACTTTTTCTGAATGTGTGGGAAAATAAACTTATCGTTTTTACCTGCACTCTGTCATTGCAGCATTTGGCTGCCATTACTTTTGAATGCTTTCAGCTCACAAAGTATATGAAAAAGGCCTAATTAAACAAAATTCAAATGTATTGGAAAAACAAAGCAGCACAGGAGCCTCAGGAGCAGGCACATCCAGAGCACTAGAACAGGTCCACAGATGATGATGACTAACATTGAGGTCTGATGGCTAGCCAAAGTAATTGGCAGCTAGAGTTCATTTCCAAATAAGTTTGCTTCACTGTTATGGAAATGATCACGAGAGATGCATTTTTTGTAGGCAGTGTATTTTCTGTCCAAGAACTGAATCAACATCAGAGACACTTTGCCTCTGGACAGTGATAGCTGGACTATTGCGGCACAGTAAGAAAATATTTTTCTACTAGTGCAAAACTTCAACTGCTCTCTACCCACTTCATCCATTTATGCAGTTGTTCATATGCATCCTAGCATGCAGTTTGTAAGCGTGAGGGTTGAAGATTTTTGTTATTGGTGAAGATTTTTTTCAGGGATAGAGGTTAACTAAAGCATTTGTGGAGGCTTTTTTGTTAGGTTTGATTTAGTTTTAGCTTTTTGATAGTTGCAAGATTTATAAACTGATGAGTCTTTTTTGAAAGAGTTTGTTCTAATGATACTGATTTTTCATGCAACGCCTAAAACCTCTGAGTCTAGAGAGAAATATTCCATTGGCTCAGATCAAGCCCACATTGCATGCCATTTTTAAAAGAGATTAAGTTATCATTTATGTGCCTGCATCAGCAGAGCTGTATTTTAAGTAAGGTGGAAGTAAGTATTCTGAGTAATTACTTCTAGTATTTTATAACTGCTCCTGCTGAGAAGTAGTAAAAATTGGAACAAACCTGCAAATTCCTGCATATGAGTTTTCTGAAAAGGTACAAGTTTGCAGTGTTACCTGCTCCCAAAATGTTGAAAATGTTCTTGCTGTGTTTCCCTTGCTGCGTTTCTAGCATACATACGATTTCTAGAGCAATGCTGCTATGTCAAAATATCATCATGTATATATGTAGAATATTATTGATACGGAGATCAGTCAACCCAGTAGCTTTCCTTTTCCAAATTGATCAGCTCATTCCTTGTGAGGAACTAGTTCATTAAATTCAGCTCAAGAAGTATGGGTCACTGTTTAAAATGACCCATTTTAATAACACATTATTATAGGGAATAGGCTAGTAAATGTACATTTTAGGGTTTCTATTTATTATAACGCGGTTGGGACTTCTATTTACTGATTACTCTTAAATGTAAGTGGACTACATGAAAAATAAAATGACAAAGTGCTACTGTCAAATCTCATTTCAGACTTGTATTTATATTTAATCTACACATTGGAAGAGTTTCCTACATATGGATAAGCTCTGTATCCATCTTTGTTTCATGTGTCTGTATAAAGAGTAATTACCACAACATAAAATTAATCAGACAATAAAAGGCTGAAGTTTCCCCATGGTTTGTCTCAGCTTCACTTCAGTTTTAGAAAATGTCCCCGTATGATGTCAGTGAAAAGCATAATTAGACAATGCATACTGAGCACTTCACTCACTGGTGACAGCTGTGCCACTCCCATGAATAACGGGGTCTGCTGGGCAGAAAATCCGATGTGCCTTGATTTTTCACTCTTTGGGGGAATCTCAGGAGCACCCGATTGTCATAGTCTCTAACATCTGCTCGATAAGCTGAACTGCAATGATGCAAATCAAAGAAAACAAAGGAAAAAGCCATAAATATGCAAGAAATACTTTGAAAAATGCTCTATATTGTCTCAGAAGTAGCTAATAGCAGAGATCTTTTCAGGCCCCATAAGCCTCTTGCATTGTAGATTCACACAGGAGTTCCCATATGGTGTAGAAATGCCTGGTGTCAGACCAAGACCTAAGTAAGATTCAGATCTGGTTTTAATTTTATAAACGGAAGTTTGACCACTGCCTGACTCTGTCTATGAAGAAGATCACTGTTGAGCTGTAAAATTACTCTAGTATCAAAAAACATAATTTTATTAGTTGCTGTTAACCAAAATAACTCCCAGTGTACACAAGATCACCTAACAGATGTTTGATTCTGTTCTTAAAAAAACCTAATATGTATATGAATCAGGCTGTGTTTTCCTTTTGCTATTATCTACATTATTTTAAATACTGGAATATTTTAATCAACTAATAGCCATCAAGAACACTTCAATGAGTCTTCGCTGTGAAGCTAGCAAAAAAAAAAAATACTTCTTCTTATGTCATGTTTTCTTTTTTCTGCAAGTGAACAGCAAGCATGATGCTGAAACAGACTGACAAAAATTAATTATGCTGGTAAATAAATAAATCTGTTTTGTATGATAAGGTATCAAACAAGTTAAAATGGTTAAAAAACAGCCATGTTGATTTCTTTCCAAACAAAACAGGAAAAATCCCTCTTTGCCAACTGGACAAGACCTAACTTCTTAACAAAGCTGTTATTTCAACCCCTTAAGAGACTATGAAACACTTTTCAGGGCGATTTTAGTTTTAGAAGACATTAAAAGGCATAGGCCCAGAAACAATTAGCTTATTATAATCTTAATAATAAATTGTGCTGGTTAAGAATAGGATTTTTGTTGTTTGGTTTTTATTTCTTTTTTTTAATGAAGTAACGTATGATCTTGTGGGAGTAGAGGAGGGAGATGAAAATCAGCAGATTGCAGTGGTTTTCCAGGTGCCTCCATTTCACAAAATTCAGAAATGTTCAAGTGAGCCTGACAATAGAAACATGTAATACAACTTTTCACAGCATGTAGGTTCTTCAGGAGATCTGCAGCCTGTCTCTCTAATATGCCAGGACTGCTTTCTGATGTGCATACTCTACCATCAACCACAAACTTAGAAGGAGCTAACAAAGGGCCTCACTCTTCTTCACTCTTCACCGTGGTCACAGGTGGCAACACGAGCACGGCAACCCACAGCAAATGGGCAAAATCTTGGGACGATGCCTACCTTGCCAAGCAGTTCTCCTCGGCAGCACATCTCAAGTTATACATGGACATCCTCTGGACATATGTGGACGCCTGGATGTAATAGGGATCCGGGACTAAGTCAGGGAGACCTGCAGTTCATCAAACCAACCACATAACAGCAAGATCAACCCAGGACACGTTTGCAAATACTTGGCTACCATCCCAGCCGTTAGGAGACGGCGTTTTGCTACAGACCCCTGCTCTCCGTTAAGCTCGCATTCCCCTTTGCTCAGGCTTGTCCCAAACACCCCGCGGCAGTCACGACGCCCGCACCCCGCGGTATCGGCAGCTCGCCCCTATCCGGGACGCGGGCACTGGGCTGCCGGCAGCCCGAGAGTCGGGTGGGCGGCTGCCCGGTCACGTTTTGCCCCGGGCGAGGCCAGGCAGGGCCGGCGGCCCCCGCAGCTCCTCCCGCCGGGACCGGCGTGCGCGGAGCGAGCGCCGGGGCCGGGGCCGGGGCCGGGGCCGGGGCCGGGGCCGGGGCCGGGGGCAGGGGAGGGGCCGGACGGTATGGGACGGGCGGAAAGGAGGGAGCGCTCTTACCGTACTGGAAGTAGCCGGTGCCATAGCCGGGTCTGTACCTGCTGCCCTGGCGGGGCCTCTCGTAGGTGTCGTAGTAGTTGTAGTAGGGGTTATCGTCCGTGTACTTGTAGGGGTTGTAGGGGTCGTCTCCTACCATGACATCTTCCCGGCCGGGCCTGAAGCTGCTCAGGGGCGGCAAGCTGCCGGCCCCGGTGCTGCTCCCGTTGCCGTCGGTGCCGGTGCCGCCGGCGGGGCTGGGTCGTGGCGCGCCCGAGGAGGCGCTCCGGGCCGCGGAGGTGGCGGCCGCGGGGCTCCGCTGAGCGGCAGCGGCGCGACCCCCGGAGGAAGGCTGGTAGCCGGCCTGGAACCAGTGCCGAGCGCCGGAGCCGCCCCGGCTGCTGGCGGCAGGCTGGGACTGGGGCTGCGGCGGGGGCTGCGCGGCGGCGGCGGCGGCGGCGGCGGGGCGGGCGGCTCTCCGCGGCTGCACCGTGCCGTTGTTCCGCAGCAGCAGGATGGGGCTGCCCGCCGCCTCCGCCGCCTGCCTGCGCCGCGGGGGCTGGTACTGGGAGCCCAGGCTCAGCAGGCTGTACACCTGCCCGTTGTTCTCCCACTGGATCCGCTGCCTCCAGGCGGCGGGGGGCGGCGGGGGATCCCGGCGCGGCGGCTGCTGCTGCTGGCAGCCGGCGGGGCAGAGGCAGCTCCAGTAGATGCACGCGTGAAGCTGGGCGAGCAGGAGCCCCGGCGGCGCGAAACGCATCTTCTCGTCTTTCGTGGGCGCCGGCGGGAAGAGAGATACGGGCAAAACCGGGAGGGGAGGGGGAGGGCGAGAGGAGAGCGAGGGGCGCCTTTCCTGCTCGGGATGGAGCGGGGGGGCGGTACGGGGAGGCCGGGGGCTGCGAGCGGCGCCTCTGGAAGCGTCGGGCGGGCAGCGGGGTCTCAGGCTCTGCGGCACCCGGGAGGTGCCATCGGGCAGGTCGGGCCGTCGGAAAGGAAACCCGGCCCGGGGGAGGCGGCGAGAGCGGCTTTTCTTCTCCCTGGTATTTATAGGCGAGGGGATGCGAATAGGAGCCGGAGCAAACAATCAGCCTCTCATCGTCCTCCGGCCCGCGCTGGTGTCTGGAGCGAGGGAAGGAGGAGGAGGAGGAGAGACCAGGGACTTTAAACTTGCTGGCACGCTCGCAAAGTTACACAAGCCCCGCTGGCTGGGCTGGCTGCACCCCCGCCATTTGTTCACGTAATGCGGCTGGAAACGTGCGGCCCTGACAGTTCCCCCCACGGCCGCCCCCCGCCCGCCCCGCGCGGGGGCGGCTCGGGGGGATCGGGAACGGGGCGGCTAGGGGGGATCGGGAACGGGAACGGGGCGGCTCGGGGGGATCGGGAACGGGGGGGGTCGGGAACGGGGCGGCTATGGGGGATCGGGAACGGGAACGGGGCGGCTCGGGGGGATCGGGAACGGTGGGGGTCGGGAACGGGGCGGCTATGGGGGATCGGGAACGGGAACGGGGCGGCTCGGGGGGATCGGGAACGGTGGGGGTCGGGAACGGGGCGGCTATGGGGGATCGGGAACGGGAACGGGGAGGCTCGGGGGAACGGGAACGGGGGGGATCGGGAACGGGGCGGCTCGGGGGGAACGGGGCGGCTCGGGCCGGCGCGGCGGCGGGGGTCCCCATCCTCCATCCCTCCCTCCCTGCCTGCCTCCCCCCGCGCCCCGAGCCGCGCCGAGCCGTGCCGAGCCTGCGGCGGGCGGGCGCGCTCAGACACACGTAGGCTGCCAGAGTATGCCGTGGGGCAGCGCCAAAGTATGCAAAGGAAAAATGCTATTAGCTCATCAGCGCTGGAGAGACTAGAAACGGGGTGGCGGGGAGGGGGAAGGGGCCACTGGGGAGAGAGGAAACATGTTTCTGGAAAATGTGCTGGCCGGCACATCTCCCGGGCTGGAGCAGCTGCTGGTGACCATCTCAGCGCTGAGTAACAGTCGGATCCCCTTAATGACCTCTTAATTAGGAGAAAACCTCCATCAAATAAACTCTTGACTATTGACTTTTGGGTTTTGTGCATATGAGTCACACGAGAAATGTATTGGCGATGCTCCTCCGGAGTAACTTTTCATTGAAAAGTGAAATTTCACATGGGAGAGGCTTAGCCCCATCACCAGAACAAATAAACCTAGTTTGGGCAGTGTCTCCCCAAAACCGTGCTGGGGAAGAAGAGCAGGCTGTGGCCCGAAAGCCTCTTCCTTCCTTCCTGCTTTTACAAGAGTTCATCAAGGCTGTGTTTTGATAAGGACAATCACCCAGTGAGGCAAATGAATTAAGGTCCATGGATTTCAGCCAAAATTTCTTTTGGGTGTATTTTTCCAAAGGCTGTTTGCTTATGAATCCTTGCAAAGGAATTGAGGGGAATACACAGAAGTTCTCCTTCACCGAACGTTTGGTGGTGGGAATATTTAAGTGAATCCTGTCAATGATGATCAGCCTGGGCTGGAGATTTTCACCTTACTCAGACAGATTCAAGGCACCCTCGGACCACTGCCAGCTTCCCCAGGTCAGGTTAACAGTCCACTTGTTACTAGCCAGGTGGATATGCAACCGGTTTTTGATGTTTTAGATACAGTTCTCCTGTCTCCTGTGTTGTAGTTTATTTATTTTTATTTACATTACTTTAAATGGTGCACACTTAATAATAGAAAACCAGCAAAATGTGGTCCCACTTTGTGGCTGTGATGGATGGTGAATGCTGATTTACACTTCTATAGAATTATTAGCTGCAGGGCTCATCTTTAAAATACTTTCACCCCCTGAAATCAGCGGTGCCAACCCTGCGTGTCAAAGGTCCTCCCGTGGGCAGGGGGTCATGGGCTCCGACCAGTGCTGGCACCGGCTGCTCGCCACGCCAGGCTTGCTGGCTCTGCTCTAATTGTAAGAAATGGTCAGTCTGGAGAACACTGAGGAGCACAGGGCACTTGTGCTCCAAAGACAGCAAAGCTCTCTCACTTGAGAACATGTCCAATAGCCAAGTGGGTGCTTGTTACCATTGCTAGCCAGCACCAGGATGGAGGGGAGCATCTGCTGGACTGGGCGCACAACCAGAACAGTAACTGGTGTCTTTCCACAAGTGGGTTGTGTGTGCTAGTTTGGGCAGTGTGCTGCAGAGGTGGTTTGGTTTGGGTTCTCTTATTCATCGTATTTGCAGGCTGCTCGTCCCCTGTGATCTTTCTCATTGTGGCTTTGAAAATATTATTCTCCATTTAAGCGTTTGCCTGGAACAATCAGTGACTAAGGCTGAGTAAAGCGGAAAGGTTGAAGATAGGGAAAATGCAACACTGAAGGAATGAGGATTCTGTCTTTTTAATCTTCCTCTAAATCTTACTAATGTTACAAACAGCAGGTTGTTGCCCAATGTGTGATATTAGACAATGTTTCCACACAGTGGGATTCCAGCCATTTTTTTCTTATGCCTGATTAAGTTACTATTTTTCATGAAACTGGAGAAAGCATATTTGAGGCTGGTATTCTCACCCATCTATCAGCCATTTCACACGGTTTGCCATTTTTTCCATAGCACAAGTTTCATTTGTTAATTAATTTAGGGTTCATAATGCCTGAAAAGCATTATTAGCATCCCTGGAGGGTCATGTCCATTTAACTATTTTCCTCTCTCCATAGGTTGCCTAATTACACCAGGTTTTTACATCATGGTCTGAAAAGACCATCAAAACCTCTGCAACCTAAGGTGTGGAGGTGAGCATTTCTGCAATACTTTAAAAAGTCTCATAAGCAAGTCAGGTACTGCGACTGCTTTAAAACTGCCCTAAAAACTGTTAAGCACTCTGGTATTAAACTTTCTCATGAAGTTGATACAGCTGCTTTTTAAAGTCCAGTTCTGATACTGATCACAGTTAATTTAGTTACTTAAGCATTTGCTTACCCCTTTCTTTTTTCATCTGGAATGACTGGTATGCCCGGGTACTTGTTGTACTGGGGATTTTGATTTTTGTCACCTACAGAAATAAATACAGTGAGAAATATATCAACTGAAATAAAATCTTCCTTCACTAGAAAATGACACTAATTAAAGCAGATGTCAGTAAGTAATTGCAGTAATATCTCAAAACCTGGTATCAGGTGGTAACTTATATTTAAATTTACATTTAATTGTAAGGTTGTAGCAGTCCTCATTCAGATGTTACAAATGGAAAAATGTCTCTAATGGCATTAGTAGCATTTGGAGTTACCTCAATATGTTCGCTACTGCTAAACTGCTAATTCAGTTGTGAATCTTGAAAATGGAAAAATATTAACCTGTTCACCACAAAAATACCCCAAACAGAACCAAAGCTATTTGAATTTGGCATGCCTTAATACATGTCCTAAGATGCACATTTTAAGGTTCTTTAATCTTACTATCTGATATGTGTATGAAAAAAGTATAATAGTGTACAAAAGGGGAAGCAATTTTAAATGTCAGTTTATATCGATCACATTATTTGTTACTTTTAATATTATTTTTAAAATATCAGCTCTGTAGTTATGGGTTGGAGAATTCATGTTCTTGTTTAGTCATAAACTGGTATGCTTAACTAGGGTCACACACATAAAACAAGAAATATAAATAATGTTATAAAATCCTAACAGGAAACTAGACAAACTTAATATGTGTTAAGTATATTTATAAACTGATATTTTTTCATTTGGGATTGAAGAGTTGTTTGTTGAGGAGTCACTACAAAAAAAAATCTTGAAAAGTAGTGGCTGGTTTCAGATTTTTCTACCTGGGAAATATTCAGTGTACTAATCTGATTTATGCTTGAATATACAAACTTATTCTGATTCTTCTGTTTGCATAAACACCGAGTAACAACTAGATTATTCAAATTTATCTTATTTTGTAGATCTTACTTATAATACTTTTTATAACTTGCCATTTTTTCCATTCAAATATTAAAAATTGTATAACTTTGTTGCAGAATACTACGGATTTTTCTGAAGCATATTTTACAGAAGGTCCAGGTATCTTTATTTAGGAAGTAACTTGTAAATCCATTGGATTAAAAGGTTCCTAATTATAATTAATTCCCTTTAATAATTGGGATTAAGATGTAAAGGTATTCTTTACAGTATGGGAACTTTACTAGAAACTAAGAACACTGAGCACTTTCAGATTCAGGTCTGTAATGAGATTTTTTTTTACAAACCAACTTAATTAGAGACAAGGGTTATAAACTTGTTCTGACATAAGTAGTCTTTGGTGCAGACAGTTATTATTTTTATAAAAGTTAGTCTTCTAGTTAAATTTAGCTACCCTTTGTATGTCTGATTTTGAAGTCTCTAATCAGGCAACTTTCCACTACCATCAGTATAATGTATACTAAACTTTCAGACTTTTTTTTTTCCTCCTCTAAGCTTATAAAGGAACAAGTAGATTTTTGTTGATTCAATGAACTTGTCAATTTGTTGAAAAAAGAAAATTATTATAATTTTATTAGCAGGTAACATCCTTGATTCAAAATTAAGAGCCAAAATCCCCGCCATCCCTTATCTAATATTTTGGGTTTATCTACCTGCATTACAATACCAGTTTGTGGTTGCTTTGTTTTGTACACCATGTGTACAATTGCTGAATTACAAATACCTGCACCAGATGAAGTAAATTAATTACATTTCTCTATCTCTTCAGGATCTGACAGCTTGATCAGAAAAAGCAGCTACAGGACCTGAGACAGCTGTTGCTCTTTTCTTGCAAGGTGAGGGCTGAAGACAAAGTCTTCTGGTACCAGTGCAT